CTAAAGTGCTGATTCGGGGAATAAAGCTTTAAAAAAAATAGGGGGCGGAGCTTATATGACGTAAATAACTTCATATCGGATGGCAAATCTGGATCAGCCCCGTTGTTCCCCCGTTTTTAGAGATTTGCGCACGGAGGAAAAGAGAGAGGGTTTTATTTTCTGACGCTGCGTGAGGACACATGTTGGGGGACACATGTTGATGTATAAAAGACATAAAAACGTGCATTATGCATGATAGGTCCCCTTTAATTACGATAGTCGTTTTCTTTCTTTGTGTAACAACACTGTTTTTTGACTGCACTGAAAAATGTTGCTTTTGAAAGGAATAACACCAACCAATATGGATACTTAATGAGACAAAAGCCTGTTGTTGGTTTTCAAAATAAATACACCTGTCCCGATTTAGGAAATGTTGACTTTACAGGGCTCTGGAGTTATTGTAAATAAGCTTACTTTTAATTCTTGTTAGCTGTAATTTGGTCCTTCATTGTGTTTGTTTGACAGACAGTCTTTCACTGTCAACTTGTATATATTTAACTCAGTAGTTCTGTTTCATTTCCTATTTTGAGATGTTGATATTTTGACATTAGGTGCAATGCCTTGTTGTAACGTGCCTATGACGGATCAATAAGGTTAATCTGAAGCTTCTTCCTATTCGGTTCAGCTTTTCAAAGTTAACATCAGAAGCAGTTTCCTACCTGATTTGACTGGTTGGTGAGATACGGCTCAAAGTCGTTATCGTGCACTGTGTCCTTCTGGTGGAGGGAGCCATTCTGCACGGAGACTGGGAACGCTGCAACAAAATGAATCACACTGTAGTCAAAACGGAAATCTACACATGCAGGATTCCCAAACACACCTAACGATGGTGAATCCTGACATATCTGTACAGCTGGAGGGACATCCCAGAATCCTGCTTTAATAACCTGCTCTAGTTCGCGTGCATCTCTTCCTCTTATGGAAGGCAGTTATAGTCTTGGAGTGAAACAGAAGTGTGGGGGTGTTCAGTGTTGTACAGAGATTTAAATAGATTATTCTGTCTGCAGGATAAACACAACCTTTGGAAGATTTGACCTTTTAAAAAGTGCAAGGTGTTTCCATTGATGAGCTGACGATGTATGTTCGTTACTGCATTAAAGAAGACATTTGAACACAGCGAGGATATGAGGCATCTGTTCATAAAGGATTGTGAGTCTCTTCTTACTAGGGCTGTGCAATTAATCGTATTTTAATCGCAATTACGATTTTGGCCTGCCACAATTACGAAACAACATAATCGAAAAAAAACGATTATTTTGCTTTGCTAGGTTGTGACCGTGCACTGCAACATATTTGATCAAATGTATTTGTATTTATATATGTTTAGTAGCTTGTTGAAGTGCACTCCAAAATATTTGTTGATCTTATATCTTTATTATTTATTTAAATGTATCATTTATTTAATTTATTTTTGTATTGGTTTTTCAGTTGAATTATACGCTCAGGGTAATCAACAGTTAAAAAGATACTGTTCAAATTATTATTTGTATTTGTTTAAAAGTTCAATAAATGGATGTTTTCAAAGTCAATGAATAATCGTATTTAATAATCGTGATATCAATTATTGACCAAAATAATCGTGATTATGATTTTTGCCATAATCTCACAGCCCTACTTCTTACCTTTGCTTGCATCTTGTCCTTTCGATGTCTTCATGGTCACAATGAGAGGATGAAAGCATGTGAAAGGAGAAAACACAACACATGCATGGGTCTATAATGCACTGTACGCCAGATACAAGCAGACACAAGAAATTGCAATACATATTTATATTTTGTCATTAACAACACCACTGAATGCACTGCTGTCCTGGGAGTGTTCTGCTAATTGAAAAGGGACAAAGTGCCACAGCATAAGAGACTGCTGCTGCAACATATCCACCTACATCTTCTGTATAAAGAAACATGTTTAATTAGTAATGTTGTTTCTAGTCTAGCATATTTGCACTACTGCATTATGGTTTAAAATGTGCCGGAAAAGCATGAATTATAAACATTGTAGTTCATTTTCTATATATAAATATTCATTTTATACACAGTTATCGTTCACCTATGAGTTTGTACATAATTATTAAAATGCCTATGTATTTTATTTGTCTTATGACCCTATTTATTTGTATTTTTTTTTTATAATGGCTTTTTTTTTTTTTTAATAGTTTCTATGTATTAATTTTTTATAATTCCTATGTATTTTTTGTTTTATTTTACAAGCCATGTGCAATATGCTATATATACTTTCTGTATTGTCCTTGTATGCAATTCATTAATGTTCTTTTGGGTCCTTATTTTAAGGTAAATGCAGCAGTGTGTAGCACTTTATATTTCAGATTTTTTTATCAATGTTATTATCAACCCTTAAATGGTTTCTGTATCTTGGGGGAAACAGTCTTATATGGGTCTAATAACAGCCGAATAAGGGTGTAATAGCAGTGTAAAAAGGGATGTAATACTAGTGTTATATGGGTGCAATAACAGTGTAAAGGGGATCTATTTCCAGTGTATTATGGGGGAAATAACAGTCTTATTTGTACGTATAATATACCCATATAATACTGTTATCACATATTATTATAAATAATGGTGAAATATGGGTATATTAATGTATTATATTAATGTAATGTAGAAAATACCAATTCAAAAACATCACATATTAACCTATCTGCACACTGACATGTGTATATCTGTCCTCTGGGTGTAAATAGTCCCTTTTATCTAACCCACCACCCACTTCGCTGTGGTCCAGGCCTGTGGAAAGCTCCAGTGAGGGGGGCAGTTTCACAGCTCACCTCCCCGCTCTGAGAGCCTCCTAGCCCGGCCACACTCCCCCTCACACCTCGCCTCTCAGCGGAGGGATACATCTTAACGGTTTTTCTTACCTGAGGGTCTATACTGGCGGCAGACATCCTTTACCCCACCAGGTGTAGTGCGATGTGTGTGTGCTTATGTGTGTGTGTATGTATGTATGTGTGTATGTGTGTGTATGTGTGTATGTGTGTGTGTGTAGGTGTATGTGTGTGTGTATGTTAATGGCAGTTTAAACAGTCCGTTAGCCGTTAGCAGTGATCTGGTCTCTCAACTCGGAGGACCGTTTCTTCTCTCCCCGGTGTCTCTGGCTCTCCTCTCTCCGGTCCCCGGTCCTCATGAACTCCGGCGGGGCTTCAGTCCTCTCCGGTCCCCGTTAACTCTCCGGGAGATTAAAGATCCTCCTCCGGTGGCCCTGCTGCTCACTTTGCCCCAATGGCAGCTTCATCCGGGGACTGAAGGGGAGGAAGTGACGTAGGGCACGTAAAAGAAAAGACGCGTTCATGGCTCAGTGTTGTTTTTTTATGTCGTTTTTATTTATTTTTAATTTAATATTATTAAGGTTTATTAAGACACATTTATTATAACCATACATTCCCTATATAGTCCCTCCCCCTTCCCACCCTTCTTGTCATTTCACAGAAATCATACCTGATGTTTGTTAGCAATCGTCTGAGTTCATCTATCTATTAAATTATATGTATATTATTTATATTATAGCATACACATGTATACAAATCACATACATTCATACATTTTGTTCACAACATTTCATCTGTTTGAACTGAATTGAGATTGACTCCTAATCATCTACAATTAATGACCTTTTTAAAGTTTCCTTTTTTAAACGTATTTATTAAAATCCCTTTTTGGTTTCTGTACCATTTCGTAGAGTAAAGTTACAAATACTAAAAATCCATCCATCCATCTTCTCCCGCTTATCCGTGGTCGGGTCGCGGAGGTAGCAGTTCCTAAACTTTCCTAAAATGACATTTTTTATTTATAAATCTATTTAAACAAAAGTGTATTTATTCAAGTTTATTTAACCATAATCTGTACCGTTATGTTGGGAAGTGGAACAGACCCAGCAGTAATTAATGCTTACTATGTTTCCTCAAAGATGTAATACAAAGTGCATGTACAAAGTGCAAGTGCAAGCGTCTTTGGGTTCAAGAAAAGCGCGATAAAAATAAAATATATTATTATTATTATTATTATGTAATCATTTTATATTGTTCAAATGTATTAATCCCAATTATATTTTTGATGACTCTTAAAAAATGTTCTCTGTACCATTACACTACATTACATGTCACTTGTTAGACGCTTTTATCCAAAGTGACTTACATACATTCAGTACTGTGGGCAATCCCCACAGGAGCAATTTGGGGTGAAGTGTCTCAGGGGACACAACGACATGCTGACTGCAGTGGGGTTTGAACCTGTACTCCCCTGATCCAAACACCAACGCACTATTCACTGCACCACACGCCTCCCTGTTGAGTACACATCTGCTTGTATTTATGTTTTATTTATTTTTTAAAAGTGGTTTATTTATTCTAGATCTCCTTTTCTATTATATTCACATCGTTACAAATCATTAAATACATATACACCGGAAGGGAAATTGGTTTAGAGCGCAACAGAAGGGCAATAAATCAGAATAAAGGAGAAACAAAACAGCTTTTCCTGGTCTTATAAATGTTTAATAATAAACAGATCTGTGCCATACATCTGTTGTGTGTGTGTGGTTTATTTCACTGAATTTAATGACAGTATTTAACACAACACGAGTTGAAGTGGTCACATTTTCTAATTAAGATTACACATTATTAATAATTTATACACATTTTAAAAACATTATAAAGATACTGCCACTTATTTACATTATCTCAAACACACACACACACACACACACACCCACACACACACACACACCCACACACACACACACACACACACACACCCACACACACACACACACACCACACACACACACACACACACCACAACACAACACACACACACACAACACACACACACACCACCACACACACACACACACACACACCACACACACACACACACACACACACACACACACACACACACACACACACCCACACACACACCACACACACACACACTATTATATTAAAATGAGATTTGAAGCCTGAGATAAAAACACATCATGAACTGCTTTTTAAATTAGGCCGAAGAAATCTCTCGATGAAAGTTCTCAACGTCGTCTCCACGGTTTCCTCACCCCGTTTTCTCCTGAGGTTATTTATAATCTAAACAAAAATATGAAAAATACACAATGTACGAGGTGTTGAATGTATAATGTAGACATGGGAATCAGAGGAAACGGCAGACTCCTACCTGCAGGTGTGTACACTAGAAGAACAGCTGAGAGGGTTTGGATGGATGATGAAAATCACCAATAAAATTGACTGAAATAAGAAAGAAAACGTGAGTAAACGATGCACTGGAAGCAACGTCAAAATGAAGTGTCAAATGTTGGGGAAATCATAATGTTGTAGTATCAAACTGTACAATACAAATGTAAAAATAAATGATAGAAATGGTTTCATATCATACTTACAGTTGTCCTCCTGGTCTGAGAAAGTGCTGGCGACGTAGCACGCATAAACAAATCCTGGGAGCTACAGTACGAGAAGAAGGTAAACAAGTCAATCATGTAGTAAATTTGTTTTAAAAGCACATCACACAATTTCTTGAGGAAGATAAATTGACAGAAGGAAAGCACAGGTGTTCTTAATCACATACTACTCAGATTTAGTTTTCTTGCGTTGGATAATTTTGGATCTAGTTTTTAATGAATCTTGAGTTTTTCTATTATTTATTGTTTGTTAAATGTTTTGTCTCATTGTGGGTATATTGTGTTTTTGTCGTTGAGGAAAGATGTGGTACAACTCAAGGGGTTATTCCTAAAAATGAAATAAAATGTTTATATTTAAATACAAAAATAATATTTACATATAAATACAAATATTTTTTTTTAAAAGTACATAAATAAATATAAATGTGTGAATATATATAAAATCAGATCCAGATAAACACAGATAAAGAACTATTTCAAGAAAACTATAATACATTAAAAATATAGTAAAAAGTAAAGTAATAGTAAAGTGTGTGTCTCGAACAGCGCTATATAAATTAAATGTATTATTATTGTTATCTCTAAATGAGGTCGACGCTGGTGAGATGGTGGTCAGGAGCTGTTGTTTGCTAGGGTAACAGTCCATTCCTCTCCGTGTGTGCAGACCAGAACACACCTCTTGATAATTCAATGATAAATATGCTTTGAGGTAAAGTTTTAAAAAGCCTCATGGAGTAATTCTCTCTGTGTGTGTGTGTGTGTGTGTGTGTGTGTGTGTGTGTGTGTGTGTGGTGTGTGTGTGTTGTTCCCTATGCTAGTGGTACTGCTCTGTATGAATGAGGTGTGAATGACTCGTTGCTTACTCTTAATTTATGACATTTTAAAACCCCTTAGTTGTGTTAATTATCTATTAAATATGTTATCCTCTAGAATATAATTTATTTTATTGCTTTTGATTTTGATTTTCAATCATTTTTCTCTGAGAATTGTACAACTTGCATTATCCCTATTATTAAGATATTTTATTACCACGTATATTTATTATCAGTAGATCAATCAATTCAATCAATGATTATTATATAGCCCAATATCACAAATGTTACCTTTGTCTCAGTGGACTTTACAGTTTGTACAGAATATCAATAATGTTCTTTTGTTACCTAAAGAATCTTAAATAATTCATCGTTTGATTTGCAATAAAATGTGTAAAAAATGCAGTGTACGAAAAACATGAACTTTCTTCATAATTGTAATTTATATATTGGGAAAACACGTGCTAAAGGACATAGCAATAAAGCAAACTGGAATAGAATATTGACTTTTATTAAGTGACTATAACTTAGGGGTCTTTAATTGAACAGGTTTGAACTCACAGCGAGGACGAGCTGCAGGACGCAGTGCAGAACCTCGATGTTCTGGTGCCGCAAGCCAGCAGCCCAGCTCCCAGGTGGTTCTGCTGATCCTGATGGTCCTGATGGTTCTGATGGTTTCTGATGGTTCTGATGGTTATTTGGGGTTTTCTGCCACCCAGCGGAGGGAGGATCCCCCCCTCACAGCCCGGCCCGTGGTCCTTCCACCAGGATCGATGAGAGGAAACTCCCAGAGAGAGGACGTCACTTTCCTGCAGACACAAGAGGGGGAGAACCGGTGTGAGAAGACATGTAACTGTTTCCGTTTCCCGGTACCAGTACATCACTTAAAGGTCCCCTATCATACTGTTCTTCATCAATATATCACAGGTCTCAGATATATACAGAGCCTGTCTCTGATTGGCTGAAATACCAAACAGATCATTGCAGCATTACCCATAATCCCCTCTGTTTCAGCCCTGTTTCCAAAGTGCTGATTCTCTGTCTGTTACTTTAGATAAAAATAAGGAGCCCCTCCCCACGCCCCTCTGAGAGAGATTTGGTTACAAAGAACTCAATGGTGCTCTAGGAGGAGATTCAGGTGATAAAGGGTGGGGGGGGGGGGGTTACCTTGGTTGCCTTTTTTGTATTCATAATCCGTCAATAGACTTTCTCACCTCCTACCAATCCCCACAGTCCCTCAGATTTGCCTCAAAAGCTGATGGTCTTTTAAGTCGAGGCTAAAACACATGACTTTTTTTCAACTGCTTACCCAGAAGTCTTATAACTTGTTTTTAAGCACCTACTGTATTTACCACGTTGTTTTTAAATCATCTCTTGTATGCATGGTTTTTCTGAATCTGTTATTCCTTAGTGTTTATTGTTGTGTCCCTTTCTGTTGTCTTCGTATTAAGTGTTGATGATGTTGTAAAGCACTTTGAATTGCCTCTGTGTCTGAAAATGTGCTTATAAATAAACGTACCTTACCTCACCTCACCACAACCCTCCCTTATTGTAAAGCGACTTGAGTCACAGAAAAGCACTTCGAATAAAAGCTGTGATCAATGTGACTGCAGGTCCTGAGAGCAGCTCTGTGTCAGGATGTGAAGCTGCAGAGTCTCTAATTAAACCGACACTAATGGACCATGAACTCACCGCGGAGAGGCCGCCCACCTCCAGGTACAAACAGCTGAACAAACACATTCAGCCCCCCCCACAGCAGCAGCCACAGCAAGTACTGGGGAGAAGACAGAGGAGAGGGGTCAGGAAATCAGTATTCAGGTGGTCAGTGTCTCTACTTTAAAGAGTCCTCTCCTGCTGATGTTTCACGGTCGATAGTATAATCAGATATGAATAGATCAGTCTGGCTACCTGTTTAAAGAGTCCGATCTCCTGCTGATGTCAGGTGTATTCAGTATGTAGTGTCTCTACTTTAAAGAGTCCTCTCCTGCCCCCTTTGATGTTCAGGTGTATATCAGTATGTAGTGTCTCTACTTTAAAGAGTCCTCTCCTGCTGATGTTTCAGGTGTATATCAGTATGTATGTGTCTCTACTTTAAAGAGTCCTCCTGCTGATGTTTGCAGGTGTATATCAGTATGGTAGTGTCTCTACTTTAAAGAGGCCTCTCCTGCTGATGGTCCAGGATGTATATCAGTATGTAAGTGTCTCTAACTTTAGAAAGAAGTGGACCTCGCAACCTGGACTGATGTTCAGGTGTATATCAGTATGTAGTGTCTCTTACTTTAAAAGAGTCGCCTCTCCTGCTGATGATATCAGGGTGTATATCAGTATGTAGTGTCTCTACTTTTAAAGAGTCCCTCATCATGCTGGATGTTCAGGTAATTATCAGTATGTAGTGTCTCTACTTTAAAGAGTCCTCTCCTGCTGATATTCAGGTGTATATCAGTATGTAGTGTCTCTACTTTAAAGAGTCCTCTCCTGCTGATGTTCAGGTGTATATCATTATGTAGTGTCTCTACTTTAAAGAGTCTCTCTCTATGCTGATGTTCAGGTGATATCAGTATGTAGTGTCCTCTACTTTAAAGAGTCCTCTCCTGCTGATGTTCAGGTGTAATCAGTATGTAGTGTCTCTACTTAAAGAGTCCTCTCCTGCTGATGTTCAGGTGTATACCAGTTGTAGGTCTCTACTTTAAAGAAGGTCCTCTCCCTGCTGAGGTTCAGGTGTCATATCAGTATGTAGTGCCTCTACTTTAAAGAGTCCTCTCCTGCTGATGTTCAGTGTATATCAGTATGTAGGTCTCTACTTAAAGAGTCCTCTCCTGCTGATGTTCAGGTGTATATCAGTATGTAGTGTCTCTACTTTAAAAGAGTCCTCATCCTGCTGATGTTCAGGTGTATATCAGTAATGTAGTGTCTCTACTTTAAAGAGTCCTCTCCTGCTGATGTTCAGGTGTATATCAGTATGTAGTGTCTCTACTTTAAAGAGTCCTCTCCTGCTGAGGTTCAGTGTATATCAGTATGTAGTGTCTCTACTTTAAAAAAGTCCTCTCCTGCTGATGTTCAGGTGTATATCAGTATGTAGTGTCTCTACTTTAAGAGTCCTCTCCTGCTGATGTTCAGGTGTATACCAGTATGTAGTGTCTCTACTTTAAAGAGTCCTCTCCTGCTGATGTTCAGTGGTGTATATCAGTATGTAGTGTCTCTACTTAAAGAGTCCTCTCCTGCTGATGTTCAGGTGTATATCAGTATGTAGTGTCTCTACTTTAAAGAGTCCTCTCCTGCTGATGTCCAGGTGTATATCAGTATGTAGTGTCCTCTACTTTAAAGAGTCCTCTCCTGCTGATGTTCAGGTGTATATCAGTATGTAGTGTCTCTACTTTAAAGAGTCCTCTCCTGCTGATGTTCAGGTGTATATCAGTATGTAGTGTCTCTACTTTAAAGAGTCCTCTCCTGCTGATGTTCAGGTGTATATCAGTATGTAGTAGTGTCTCTACTTTAAAGAGTCCTCTCCTGCTGATGTTCAGGTGTATATCAGTATGTAGTGTCTCTACTTTAAAGAGTCCTCTCCTGCCTGATGTTCAGGTGTATATCAGTATGTAGTGTCTCTACTTTAAAGAGTCCTCTCCTGCTGATGTTCAGGTGTATATCAGTATGTAGTGTCTCTACTTTAAAGAGTCCTCTCCTGCTGATGTTCAGGTGTATACCAGTATGTAGTGTCTCTACTTTAAAGAGCCCCTCTCCTGCTGATGTTCAGGTGTATATCAGTATGTAGTGCCTCTACTTTAAAGAGTCCTCTCCTGCTGATGTTCAGGTGTATATCAGTATGTAGTGTCTCTACTTTAAAGAGTCCTCTCCTGCTGATGTTCAGGTGTATATCAGTATGTAGTGTCTCTACTTTAAAGAGTCCTCTCCTGCCTTATGTTTCAGGTGTATATCAGTATGTAGTGTCTCTACTTTAAGAGTCCTCTCTCTGCTGATGTTCAGGTGTATATCAGTATGTAGTGTCTCTACTTTTAAAGAGTCCTCTCCTGCTGATGTTTCAGGTGTATATCAGTATGTAGTGTCTCTACTTTAAAGAGTTCTCTCCTGCTGATGCTTCAGGTGGTATATCAGTATGTAGTGTCTCTACTTTAAAGAGTCCTCTCCTGCTGATGTTCAGGTGTATATCAGTCAGTATGTAGTGTCTCTACTTTAAAGAGTCCTCTCCTGCTGATGTTCAGGTGTATATCAGTATGTAGTGTCTCTACTTTAAGAGTCCTCTCCTGCTGATGACCAGGTGTATATCAGTAGTAGTGTCTCTACTTTAAAAGAGTCCTCTCCTGCTGATGTTCAGGTGTATATCAGTATGTAGTGTCTCTACTTTAAAGAGTCCTCTCCTGCTGCATGTTCAGGTGTATATCAGTATGTAGTGTCTCTACTTTAAAGAGTCCTCTCCTGCTGATCTTCAGGTGTCTACAGTATGTAGTGTCTCTACTTTAAAGAGTCCTCTCCTGCTGATGTTCAGGTGTATATCAGTATGTAGTGTCTCTACTTTAAAGAGTCCTCTCCTGCTGATGTTCAGGTGTATATCAGTATGTAGTGTCTCTACTTTAAAGAGTCCTCTCCTGCTGATGACCAGGTGTATATCAGTATGTAGTGTCTCTACTTTAAAGAGTCCTCTCCTGCTGATGTTCAGGTGTATATCAGTATGTAGTGTCTCTACTTTAAAGAGTCCTCTCCTGCTGATGTTCAGGTGTATATCAGTATGTAGTGTCTCTACTTTAAAGAGTCCTCTCCTGCTGATCTTCAGGTGTCTACAGTATGTAGTGTCTCTACTTTAAAGAGTCCTCTCCTGCTGATGTTCAGGTGTATATCAGTATGTAGTGTCTCTACTTTAAAGAGTCCTCTCCTGCTGATGTTCAGGTTGTATATCAGTATGTAGTGTCTCTACTTTAAAGAGTCCTCTCCTGCTGATGTTCAGGTGTATATCAGTATGTAGTGTCTCTACTTTAAAGAGTCCTCTCCTGCTGATGTTCAGGTGTATACCAGTATGTAGTGTCTCTACTTTAAAGAGTCCTCTCCTGCTGATGTCTCACCATGATGATCAGGCGTTTTTTGTACTGAACAGCTCCAAAAAGTCCCAGGACTACGACCAGTATCTGCAGGAAGTTGATCAGGATTGAAGCCCACTGGAAACCCAGGAAGTCAAACAGCTGACGCTCCACAGCCGAGACCTATAATAACAAAATAGATTCATACAAATATTCACTCTATAACAGGAGAGACTGATCAAAGAGACACCTGTGTTGTAATTTCTGTTATTTAAGGCAGTCAAATAATTTGTTTATTTGCTTCTTGACAAAAGTTAGGGGGGAATTTTTTGACAGGACCAGAGATGGCAAAAGTACACACATCCTTTACTCAAGTAGAAGTACAGATACTCGTGTTTAAAAGTACTCTGGTAAAAGTAGAAGTACTGACTAAACTTCTTTACTCAAGTCAAAGTAAAGAGGCTTTGAAATGTACTTCAGTAAAAAGTACCCATAACTAGCAGCTGTTTTAAAGAGTAGCTGACCTCCCTTTATATTAATAGAACAATAATGTCATTGTTAGCTAATGAATGTTTCCATGCTGAACAACGGCAACATGACAACGTTTTTCATTGGTCCCTCTTCTTTAGAGAAGACCAGGAAATGATGGATACCGGATCGTGTTCAAATCAATAGGCACGCAATGACTCTAAAGAATAATGATCAACGCCACCAAACACACATTCAAACTAAAGGAACCAGCCTGTTTGGGAAATGTGAGAAGTAGAAAGTACAGGTATTTGTGTTCACATGTAAGAAGTAGAAAGTACAGGTATTTGTGTTTCAACATGTAAGAAGTAGAAGTACAGGTATTTGTGTTCAAAATGTAAGAAGTAGAAAGTACAGGTATTTGTGTTCAACATGTAAGAAGTAGAAAGTACAGGTATTTGTGTTCAAATGTAACAAGTAGAAAGTACAGGTATTTGTGTTCAACATGTAACAAGTAGAAAGTACAGGTATTTGTGTTCAACATGTAAGAAGTAGAAAGTACAGGTATTTGTGTTCAACATGTAAGAAATAGAAAGTACAGGTATTTGAGTTCAACATGTAAGAAGTAGAAAGTACAGGTATTTGTGTTCAAAATGTAACAAGTAGAAAGTACAGGTATTTGTGTTCAACATGTAAGAAGTAGAAAGTACAGGTATTTGGGTTCAACATGTAAGAAGTAGAAAGTACAGTTATTTGGGTTCAACATGTAAGAAGTAGAAAGTACAGGTATTTGTGTTCAACATGTAAGAAGTAGAAAGTACAGGTATTTGTGTTCAACATGTAAGAAGTAGAAAGTAAGGTATTTGGGTTCAAACATGTAAGAAGTAGAAAGTACAGGTATTTGTGTTCAACATGTAAGAAGTAGAAAGTACAGGTATTTGTGTTCAACATGTAAGAAGTAGAAAGTACAGGTATTTGTGTTCAACATGTAAGAAGTAGAAAGTACAGGTATTTGTGTTCAACATGTAAGAAGTAGAAAGTACAGGTATTTGGGTTCAACATGTAAGAAGTAGAAAGTACAGGTATTTGTGTTCAACATGTAAGAAGTAGAAAGTACAGGTATTTGGGTTCAACATGTAAGAAGTAGAAAGTACAGGTATTTGTGTTCAACATGTAGAAGTAGAAAGTACAGGTATTTGTGTTCAACATGTAAGAAGTAGAAAGTACAGGTATTGGGTTCAACATGTAAGAAGTAGAAAGTACAGGTGTTTGTGTTCAACATGTAAGAAGTAGAAAGTACAGGTATTTGTGTTCAACATGTAAGAAGTAGAAAGTACAGGTATTTGTGTTCAAAATGTAAGAAGTAGAAAGTACAGGTATTTGTGTTCAACATGTAAGAAGTAGAAAGTACAGGTATTTGAGTTCAACATGTAAGAAGTAGAAAGTACAGGTATTTGTGTTCAACATGTAAGAAGTAGAAAGTTCAAGTATTTGGGTTCAAAATGTAAGAAGTTAAAGTAAAAAGTGGTCAGAAAAATTAAAGTACTGATACCAGAAACAGGTACTTAATTCTGTGCATCCTTGTGGTCATATTAAGTGTCTTTGTGGTCATTGTGTGGTTTTCAGATGTTTTTCTGTATTTTCTAGTGGTTTCAGGTTTCAGCTTTTAAGATGTACGTTTGTGTCATTTCTTGGTCATGTTGTGTTTATTTTTGGCCTATTTAAATGTCCCTTTAGTGTCCCTTGTTGGTGCTTCTCTGCATCGTTGTAGTCATGTTGTGTCTCTTAAAGGTCAAGAGGCTAATTTCACATTTTTTTACGTCTCATTTCAGCGGTTTTGCTCATTTCTAGTTGTTTTATGTTTCTCTTTAAACACATTTCGCATGGCTTTACGGTCGCTGTGTGTCGCTTTATTCGTTTTGTATGTCTCTTTCAGCTTTCTTGCTTTCTTTTATAGTATTTTTATTCATTTAGTGGTAAATGTGTGTCATTTTCTCGTCATGTTGTGTTTATTAGCAGCTGTTTAAATGTATTAGTGTCACATTGTAGTCATTGTTTGTCTCTGTATTTGTTTTATGTCCCTTTTTGGTCCTTCTGTGCATATTTGAGGTCATATTTCTGTGATTTGGTGTCACCTATCAGCTGTTTAACCTTCTTTAATAGTTCTTTGAGGTTGTTAGTGGTCATATCGTGGACAGTTTGGGTCTTTTCGTATCAGTTTTTGGTCAAGTTGTGTTTCTTTGCTGCTATTTCGCATCTCTTTCTTGTTGTTTTGACCTATTTGCAGTTTCTTTATGTCATTTTGAAGTCATTTCTATCTGTATCTGGTCGTTTAATGATCCTTTTAAGTCTCTTCCTGGTCGGTATCTGTCTCTCTTTGAGTGACATTTTGTAGATGAAGGCCGTGGAGACCCTTGACACTTTGAGCCTCTACCAGGCTATCAATCAATGGCGGCCATGCTTGTTGTTTCCCCGTTAAAGGTTTTTATTTCCGTATCGAGGGTCCAGAACAACAGAGCGTGGTGAAAGCAGCAGAGGTCGTAAATCCCCCCCCACAGGAACATTTGAGGTTTCCCTTCACTTGTGCATCCCAATAGGTTGTATTTGTGATTCCTACAGTTTGTCATGGGGGACAAAGACAGACCCTAATGTCCTCTGATCCCAGTCAGCGATGAAGAGGGGGGGCAGGGTGAGAAACACACAGAAGGAGGAGGGAGAGGAGGAGGAGGGTGCAGCCCTTCATTGTGGAGCCTGGAGTGGGCGGTCACTGCTTTACATATCACCTCCAACTACAACAGGCTTACTTCACACACACAATATAAAAGCTTTCCATTCATCTGATGACAAAATATCAGAATAACACGATCTCAGAGCTTAAGGCATGATGACATGGTTTGACTTAACAACAGGGTGAAACCAGTAGATATGCAATTCATTCAACAGAAAAGCTGAAAAAAAGCCCCTTTAAGAAGCAGGAAACACATCTGACTGAGGTTTCATTTGAGTTTGATGAGTAAACAGTGACAATGTGAAGGGAAGGTCATCAAATATAACAAAACAACATGTGTTTCAACATGTTTTTAAGTATGTAAATATAGCAGCTTTAAGTCTAAATGTAAGGTTTAGGACAGATGTAAACCATGAGGGCTTCAAGGCACTGAAAACAAACTTATTTGATTGATTGATAAAAAAAATTCGAACAAGTAAAATAAATAACTACAAAACAAAATAATTGTGTGTGTGTGTGTGTGTGTGTGTGTGTGTGTGTGTGTGTGTGTGTGTGTGTGTGTGTGTGTGTGTGTGTGTGTGTGTGTGTGTGTGTGTGTGTGTGTGTAAAAAAAGATTCTTTTCAGCTAATTATTGTAATAAAATTATTGTAATAAAAATGTTGCTTTAATTGTGTTTTAAAGTGAGTTTTTACCAGTATAAGTTGTTTGTTAGTCTATAAGCATCACCAGAGGTTAACATCAGATGTGTTTCTGTGTTCATATGATGAGAGGAAGCTCTTACCAGCTGCAGACAGCAGAGTAGGATCAGCGTGCAGCGAGCAGAGCAGCAGCCCATCTTCCTCTCTGATGATGATGATGATGATGAAGAAGAAGATAACTAAAGTGATTTTAAAAAAGCTGCTCAAACTGAAGCGTAAACCCTGTGAGGTTTCAGGTCCATCTTTCTCCGGACGCACAGTGCACTTTACCTCAGAGGAAAACACGGATCTGCTGCTGGGGGGGAGGGGAGTATGGGAGGAGAGCAGTGCCACAAAGGGGGGAGAGCCAAGGGGCAGCTTCATTAATATTTCATTTTTTATTCAGCCAAATAACATTATACATGCAGTGTATGGCTGGCACTCATATATATTTAATTATTCTAAATTATATTTTTGTATATTTATAGATTTAACAGATGCTCTGAAATAATATAGGTTCAAATGATGAGATTGGAAATTAATAAGCAAATAAAACAAATAAAAACAGGAATTTACTTCTGGTAAAATAATAATATTTTAATCAAATTTAATAAATAAAAATCCTATAAATCACAAGGAATAATGTATTTAAAAAACAAATAGAAATGCTTTTTAATAATAATGATTTCCTTTTTTTAAATAACAGTGAAAAATGCCACTTCAGTTATATTAAAATGCCACTTTAATAACAAACAAATGCCTCTTTAAATAAACAGAGGCCCTTTCTCATTTCTCTAATTCCCCTCCTCGACTCCCCTCCTCGACTCCTATCCTCGTGTCTAACCCCTCGATTCCACCGGGTTCGTCTGCGTCGCGTTACGGCCGCGTTACGGACGCGTTACGGACGAGTTACGGACGCGTTACGGCTGCGTTACGGCTGCGTTACGGCTGCGTTACGGCTGCGCCACGGTGTTCGCAAAGATCGCGGCCACTCTAGTCAATGGGTGCTATTCCACTCAGAAGCGTCCCAGAAGCGTCTCTCGGCGCTGGGCTCCGCTAAAAATAGGATGCAAGTCTATTTTCGCGCAACGCGAGGCGTTGCATAGCGCCAGGAAGGACCGGTCCGAGCATCCATTCAATCCCCAAAATAAACTAATTTTGCAGACCCTATCCCTCCGTAGTCTTTCAAGTAGGAGGAGAAATGCCAGCGTTCTCCTCCGGTTTACAGGCACTGTGTAAATTATATCTATATAATAATTATGATGATGAATGCATTGTTTTACCACTAAAATACAGCAACACATCTTTGATTCATGTCGTTTATAACTGGAATATTTCAATTATTATTAACTGTGTCTGTAGTCTACAACACAACAAAATAGGAAATAACAACAATAAACACAATTTAAACAGACACAAAAATAAACCATTTAACTACGTAGCCTACTTACTTTCTTGTAGAAGTACAAATGTCAGGAAATATGCCCAAATCAACAAAAACTGCGAGCCGGCACGCAAGACGCTCCGCTTCTGAACGCTTCTGAAGCGCTCCTGAAACGCGCCCGGTAGGGTATGACGCCGGAGGATGCATTTGTGAAATGAGAAAGGGCCAATATGTTTTTTAACTTACTTGGCAAAAAAAACATGTTAAAAGCTCAAACTCACCCCTAAGAAATGTGTTGTTCTTATACTTTGACCAATTATTCATAAACATTCATTAAAAAGGTTATAGCAGTAGCTAATAGTTTGATTAGTTTGGTACAAAATCGATGGGGTTGTAAGAAGAGAGTTTGAGTACACTTTAATTAGTGGTAAGGGTCTCCCCCCCCCCCCCCTTAAACACCTGTATTCTCCCTCCGTGGCACTGATCGACCCTCATACAGCAACACCGCTGCTGCGCTCTGATTGGCTGCTGCAGCTGCCCTGCAGTGCTCTCATCATCCAGCAGGGGGCGGTGTTACAGCATTAAGGGTAACTCAACAACTGATTTGTTTTGTATATTTTTAAAGCATTTAAAGTTTAAATATTGGAGATTAATGAGAAAACATTTCAGACTTTATGATGGATGTCATTTTTTATCATTTCTGTAAAATTAATCAATATGTTTATTGTATTTATTTTGTATTCAGCCTTTTAATTTGTATTCAGATATAGTTTGAACATTTATATATTATATATATTTATATGACAACAATAATAAAAACAAAAATAGTACAATAATAATAATAATTAAAATGTTGAATGTATTTTCATAACACAATAAATACATGCAATTTTCTCAAAAATATTTGTTCATACATTATAAATAATAATAAAAACTACAAACCAACGATTGTAAATAATAGCTATTAATGATGCATGTCATTTGTTTACGTTTTATCTATTGACTCATGTTTAAGTACATTAACTTATTTATTTCATACAGTATTAATATCACTAATATATATATTTTTTTTATTGGTTATTTTTTATTGGCAATATGTAGCCTATACACGTGCTCAATTTTTTTGCTATTATTGTTTCTAATTTTATTTTTTATGTCATCCATCCAATGATTCACAAAGGGTTCAGAATTGTTAAGGATTATCTGTTGTTATTATTATAGTTGTTATTGCAGAATAAGGAGTGTTCAGTGCATTAGCCACAGCCTCCTCGTGCCCCTTCATAAACTGATAAATCTCATTAGACACAGCCTCTCTTCCTCACCCGTCCGAGGGGTGGCGCTAGAGTCAGAATATAATTGGTGAGGGGGGGTCTCTGCCTGAGTCACATGGAAACACAGCAGCCGAGCAGAGGGGAGGCTGAGCGGATGGAAGGGGCTGAGGGACCGCGGAGGAGATAAACCGGAGAGTACTGGAGATACCGGGAGATACCTGGAGACTAACCCGGGGAACAGAGCCTCACAGCGGGGTGGGGGGGACACCCGGGACACGCGACCCTGCAGCTGGGGGCAGGGGGGGGGGGGACAGAGGCGCGCGGACAGGGGAGCACAGCTTTAAAACAATGCATGCAAAATGCTGCGTCTCGTGAGGAGGACACGTTCTCGCCTTTCTTTCTGATTGATGATGATGTTCAGGGTCCGAGGAAGATGAAGATGAAGGATGCTGCGCCTCCCCAAATCTGAGTGAGTACAAGGGGGGGGGGGGGGGGGGGGGGTGTGCATGGCGCAATGTGACCGGAGGGGGGGGAGGTCCATTCATATTGGGGGGGGGGGTCCATTCATGTGTGTCTGTAGATCCATGTCGATAAGCTGCACATCATGCTGTATTCCTTGCACAGCGCCTGTTTCTCTGGGTCTCTTTGTGCCCCCCCCCACACACACACATCTGGTCTTACTGCATTGCCTTTCTCTGATTTAAAGCCCCCCCCAATAATTTAAAGCCCCCTCCCCTGAGCCTTAAATAACGAAACATGCATGCATTGATCAGAGAACTTCCCTGTGATCTGAGGAGAGGAAGCCTCGTGTCATATTCCTGCAGATGCATAAAGATAATTAACGTTAGACTCCCCCCCCCCCCTCATAAATAGGGGGGTGGGTGGTGGTGTGTGTGTGAGGGTGAGGGTGTGTGTGTGTGAGGGGGGGGTTTGTCGGTAGTTGTCAGCTGACCTCAGGGACATCCTCAGTTTGATCTGCAAATTAAACGCTTTGATGATCAGAGGAGGAAAAATCAGGACAAAAAGAATCCCACCGCATCATCTTCTTCCTTTCTACACCTGCACACACACACATACACATACACACACACACACACACACACACACACACACACACACACACACACACACACAGACACACACACACTTTACTCCTCTGCATGCTTCCCCAGGCTTCATTTTGTGTGTGTGACCTGTTGTCAGCAGCAGCTCTGCAGTTTGAGGTGTCAGAGCCCAGAGGCAGCCATCATCTCACACACACATACACACACCCTATATATTTACACACACACACACACACACACACACACACACACACAACAAACACACACACACCAACACACACGCGCACACACACACACACACACAACCACACACACACACACACACACACAACACCACACGCGGCACACACACCCACACCACACACCCACACACACAACACACAGCTCGCACACACACACATACTCATCGCCTCCATTCACACACTCATCATCAGCTTGTGAAAAGATTGGTGACTCACAATAAAATGTTTTTTTTCTATGATCACCACACACACACACACACACACACACACACACACACACACACACACACACACACACACACACACACCACACACACCAACACACACCCTCAGCTCCCTCCTCACAGCCACGGTAATCGTTGTTGCGAGCAAACATTTGACCTATTCACATTCTCACACACATGGCAGTCTCCCATCGCCCCCCCTCACACACACACACTCACACACACCACACACACACCACACACACACACACACACACACACACACACACACACACACACACACACATACACACACACACACACACACACACACACACACACTCGGCTGTTATTTGTGTCACACAGAGGGTGAGGCTTTTCTCCCAGGTGGATTTAAACCTGAGAGGAAGTGGTTCTCTAAAAGCAGCTCCAGTTGTATTAATAACCAACATGTAAATGTTCCTGGAAATTAAAAATCCCTCCGTGTCTACGTCAACACTGCAGGGTGAAATGTTCCTGGAAATGCATTTTTTATGAGGATTAAAGCTGAATAATTGTTTGACTTTTGTGCCCTGATCAGAAAATATGAAGATTATTTTATTGTTTGAAAGAGAAGCATTTATTCTGCTTAAAGAAAAACAAGATTTATGTGATTTTATTGTAGAATTTAGTCTGAAACTAATAGGTTTTTCTTTAAAAACATTGAGATATTTGATCCAAGTCAACAAGTGATTTAAGGGTATCACTTATCTTCCTTATCGATTAATCTGACCGTTATTCTCTATTTTAATTGATTAATCGATCAGTAGAGCTGCAATAATTGGAGAGGCTGAGGCCTGGATGCCTTCATCAGACGCGTTATCAAAAATGAAGACTGATATCCAAAAATGCATTGAAGAAAAATCGTACTTTAATAAATATCATCAAGTTATTATAACATGCACACATACTGTACTGTCTGAATAACCACAAACTCACACACACCTCACACAGGTGATTATATTAACTATGAGCGCCGCCCATAACCATGTGACCCAATTGATTCAACCCATAATAGATCCAGAAATAATAGTATTTTAAACAAAGACCAACGCCAAAATAGAAACAATCAAAACCACTTATTACATCAGAAATCCCCGCTCTGACCTTCCTGGCTGCCACAGGTAATCCATCAAAGGAGCAACACCATTTTATTTGGTCTATAACATTTCAGAAAATACTGAAACATGCCCATCCTAGTGACTACTATCAAAGTCTTTCCCAAATCCCAAGGATATTCACTTTAATATGATAGACTGAAAAAAACACCTCATTTGTATAATTACTGCTTATTATGGTTATGATAATAAAGTATCCAAATAGTTGGGGTTTATTAATCGACTAATCATTGCAGATCTATTTACTTCCTCCTTAAATGTCTTTGTTTTAGTAAAAATATATTGACTTAAAAAGCATTTCTGACATGAGTCTGACTAATCAATTAGTCTACTTGTTGTCCACGCTTTGATTCATTTGTGAGCTGCCGGTAAACATGTAAAATAATGAAGCTCCTACAAAAAGTATTACTATATATACTATGTATACTATATTTCATGTTTTGTTAGCCGCCGTTAGCTTAGCGGTGGTGACGTGAAGTCATGTGACCGTGCTGTAGTTCCTTTATAGCCCAACATTAGCCACCTTTAGCTTAGCGGTGGTGACGTGAAGTCATGTGACCGTGCTGTAGTTCCTTTATAGCCCAACATTAGCCACCTTTAGCTTAGCGGTGGTGACGTGAAGTCATGTGACCGTGCTGTAGTTCCTTTATAGCCCAACATTAGCCACCTTTAGCTTAGCGGTGGTTACGTGAAGTCATGTGACCGTGCTGTAGTTCCTTTATAGCCCAACATTAGCCACCTTTAGCTTAGCGGTGGTGACGTGAAGTCATGTGACCGTGCTGTAGTTCCTTTATAGCCCAACATTAGCCCCCTTTAGCTTAGCGGTGGTTACGTGAAGTCATGTGACCGTGCTGTAGTTCCTTTATAGCCCAACATTAGCCACCTTTAGCTTAGCGGTGGTGACGTGAAGTCATGTGACCGTGCTGTAGTTCCTTTATAGCCCAACATTAGCCACCTTTCGCTTAGCGGTGGTGACGTGAAGTCATGTGACCGTGCTGTAGTTCCTTTATAGCCCAACATTAGCCACCTTTAGCTTAGCGGTTGGTGACGTGAAGTCATGTGACCGTGCTGTAGTTCCTTTATAGCCCAACATTAGCCTCCTTTAGCTTAGCGGTGGTGACGTGAAGTCATGTGACCGTGCTGTAGTTCCTTTATAGCCCAACATTAGCCACCTTTAGCTTAGCGGTGGTGACGTGAAGTCATGTGACCGTGCTGTAGTTCCTTTATAGCCCAACATTAGCCACCTTTAGCTTAGCGGTGGTGATGTGAAGTCATGTGGACCGTGCTGTAGTTCCTTTATAGCCCAACATTAGCCACCTTTAGCTTAGCGGTGGTGACGTGAAGTCATGTGACCGTGCTGTAGTTCCTTTATAGCCCAACATTAGCCCCCTTTAGCTTAGCGGTGGTTACGTGAAGTCATGTGACCGTGCTGTAGTTCCTTTATAGCTCAACATTAGCCACCTTAGCTTAGCGGTGGTGACGTGAAGTCATGTGACCGTGCTGTAGTTCCTTTATAGCCCAACATTAGCCACCTTTAGCTTAGCGGTGGTTACGTAAAGTCCTGTGACCGTGCTGTAGTTCCTTTATAGCCCAACATTAGCCCCCTTTAGCTTAGCGGTGGTTACGTGAAGTCATGTGACCGTGCTGTAGTTCCTTTATAGCCCAACATTAGCCCCCTTTAGCTTAGCGGTGGTTACGTGAAGTCATGTGACCGTGCTGTAGTTCCTTTATAGCCCAACATTAGCCACCTTTAGCTTAGCGGTGGTGATGTGAAGTCATGTGACCGTGCTGTAGTTCCTTTATAGCCCAACATTAGCCACCTTTAGCTTAGCGGTGGTTATGTAAAGTCATGTGACCGTGCTGTAGTTCCTTTATAGCCCAACATTAGCCCCCTTTAGCTTAGCGGTGGTTACGTGAAGTCATGTGACCGTGCTGTAGTTCCTTTATAGCTCAACATTAGCCACCTTTAGCTTAGCGGTGGTGACGTGAAGTCATGTGACCGTGCTGTAGTTCCTTTATAGCCCAACATTAGCCTCCTGTCGTTCCTAAGGGCTATAAAGGAACTACATCACAGTCACATGACTTCATGTCACCACCGCTAAGCTAAAGGAGGCTAATGTTGGGCGTGATGACGCTTACCCTCATTTAGACACTTGTTAGCAACCAGGTGTTTTCTCCAGTTGGAAAGAAGACATGATATAGAAGCAAAATGACCCAAACTCTTTAAATAAATGATCAGTGCATGAACAATAGGTTTTGTCACATGAATTGATCATACATTGCATTTAGTTCAGTAAAGATATTTATGATGGATGAAGCTCCTTCTGGTCAGTGAAACACCTGGTGAATCTGCACCTGCAGGTATCTGCTGCAAACAGGAAGAATCAGAATCAGGTTTATCACCAGGTAGATTGACATGTACGAGGAATTTCACTAGGTGCATACATAAAAGTAAAATGAAAAACACGGATAGAGAACTATTTTAAGAGAGGTGTGTTTAGCAGAACAATCAGCCATGGAGGGGGGTGGAGGTATTTCTTCCTCTTGCTCTAAACGCTGCGTCTGATTGGCTCACGAGGCAGAGATTACACCGCAGTGCTGAGGCAGCGTCATACAGAGGGGGAGACAGGGGGAGGAAAGACAGGAAACTGACAGCGTCCTCTCATCAGAGGTGGAAAGTAGTGGAGTACAAATACTTCGTTACTGTACTTAAGTACATGTTTCTGGTATCAGTACTTTACTCCACCACTTTTAACTTTGACTTCTTACATGTTGAACACAAATACCTGTACTTTCTACTTCTTACATGTTGAACACAAATACCTGTACTTTCTACTTCTTACATGTTGAACACAAATACCTGTACTTTCTACTTCTTACATGTTGAACACAAATACCTGTACTTTCTACTTCTTACATGTTGAACACAAATACCTGTACTTTCTACTTCTTACATGTTGAACACAAATACCTGTACTTTCTACTTCTTACATGTTGAACACAAATACCTGTACTTTCTACTTCTTACATGTTGAACACAAATACCTGTACTTTCTACTTCTTACATGTTGAACACAAATACCTGTACTTTCTACTTCTTACATGTTGAACACAAATACCTGTACTTTCTACTTCTTACATTTTGAACACAAATACCTGTACTTTCTACTTCTTACATGTTGAACACAAATACCTGTACTTTCTACTTCTTACATGTTGAACACAAATACCTGTACTTTCTACTTCTTACATGTTGAACACAAATACCTGTACTTTCTACTTCTTACATGTTGAACCCAAATACCTGTACTCTCTACTTCTCACATTTCCCAAACAGGCTGGTTCCTTTAGTTTGAATGTGTGTTTGGTGGCGTGATCATTATTATTTAGAGTCATTGCGTGCCTATTGATTTGAACACGATCCGTGTATCCATCATTTCCTGGTCTTCTCTAAAGAAGAGGGACCAATGAAAACGTTGTCATGTTGCCGTTGTTCAGCATGGAAACATTCATTAGCTAACAATGACATGATTGTTCTATTAATATAAAGGGAGGTCAGGTACTCTTTAAAACAGCTGCTAGTTATGGGTACTTTTTACTGAAGTACATTTCAAAGCCCTCTTTACTTTGACTTGAGTAAAGAAGTTTAGTCAGTACTTCTACTTTCACCAGAGTATTTTTAAACACGAGTATCTGTACTTCTACTTGAGTAAAGGATGTGTGTACTTTTGCCCTCTCTGCCTCCCATCATCAGCGTCTTCCAACACCTGCCACATGACTCCCACACACACACTCTCTCTCTCTCTCTCTCTCTCTCTCTCTCTCTCTCCCTTCTCCTCACACCGATATAATTACTGTGACACTGTTGCTACTGAGAATTAAACGCCTCACAGGTACATATGGTTCCTTAAATCCAACATAATATCTCGGGTTGCTCACAGGAGGTGTTGCACTGGTGGGTGATGTGGCGCCATTTGTGAAATATTTGCTGGATGCTGTGAAAATATCACACACACACACACACACACACACACACACACACACACACACACACACACACACACACACACACACACACACACACACACACACACACACACACACACACACACACACACACACACACACACACACACACACACACCAGGACACGCTGGGAAAACGTGTCACTGCTTTCTTAAAGGAAGATTATTTCTATATCAATTACCAAACCTGTGTAGGAGCCTTGATGTTTATTTAGCCCGTGTTTTTCATTTTTAGTTTTACCATTATGTGTTTTATGTGTTGGTGATCATCACTTCTTCCAAATTGTCACCTGGGTTTCCTGTTACTTCGTCTACCTGTTCAGATGTTTGCCTGGCTTTTTGAGACAAATTATACTTCCTGTTGAGGTCCTGCTTCAACTTATTGTTTTCTTATGCTGATGTTCAGGTGTATATCAGTATGTAGTGTCTCTACTTTAAAGAGTCCTCTCCTGCTGATGTTCAGGTGTATATCAGTATGTAGTGTCTCTACTTTAAAGAGTCCTCTCCTGCTGATGTTCAGGTGTATATCAGTATGTAGTGTCTCTACTTTAAAGAGTCCTCTCCTGCTGATGTTCAGGTGTATATCAGTATGTAGTGTCTCTACTTTAAAGAGTCCTCTCCTCCTGATGTTCAGGTGTATATCAGTATGTAGTGTCTCTACTTTAAAGAGTCCTCTCCTGCTGATGTTCAGGTGTATATCAGTATGTAGTGTCTCTACTTTAAAGAGTCCTCTCCTGCTGATGTTCAGGTGTATATCAGTATGTAGTGTCTCTACTTTAAAGAGTCCTCTCCTGCTGATGTTCAGGTGTATATCAGTATGTAGTGTCTCTACTTTAAAGAGTCCTCTCCTGCTGATGTTCAGGTGTATATCAGTATGTAGTGTCTCTACTTTAAAGAGTCCTCTCCTCCTGATGTTCAGGTGTATATCAGTATGTAGTGTCTCTACTTTAAAGAGTCCTCTCCTGCTGATGTTCAGGTGTATATCAGTGTGTAGTGTCTCTACTTTAAAGAGTCCTCTCCTGCTGATGTTCAGGTGTATATCAGTATGTAGTGTCTCTACTTTAAAGAGTCCTCTCCTGCTGATGTTCAGGTGTATATCAGTATGTAGTGTCTCTACTTTAAAGAGTCCTCTCCTGCTGATGTTCAGGTGTATATCAGTATGTAGTGTCTCTACTTTAAAGAGTCCTCTCCTGATGATGCTCAGGTGTATATCAGTATGTAGTGTCTCTACTTTAAAGAGTCCTCTCCTGCTGATGTTCAGGTGTATATCAGTATGTAGTGTCTCTACTTTAAAGAGTCCTCTCCTGCTGATGTTCAGGTGTATATCAGTATGTAGTGTCTCTACTTTAAAGAGTCCTCTCCTGCTGATGTTCAGGTGTATATCAGTATGTAGTGTCTCTACTTTAAAGAGTCCTCTCCTGCTGATGTTCAGGTGTATATCAGTATGTAGTGTCTCTACTTTAAAGAGTCCTCTCCTGCTGATGTTCAGGTGTATATCAGTATGTAGTGTCTCTACATGTCTCCATGCTTTAATGTTCAAAAAGCTCTTTATTGTTCTCATACTGTCTGTGCTGCGGCACCTCTTTTCACCCTCTGTCTGAAACCAGAGCCCAGTCTGCTCTGATTGGTTAGCTGGTCAGGATGCTCTTATCTTACAAAGCAAAACAAGCAGCGTACAAATAACCCATGAGACGTTTTTTATGGACGAAATCTGATGCAAATTGGATTTCATACTGAGAAACCGTCGGGCTGGATTTCCTCACAGAAATGCAAAATACCTGCAAAGTCACAAAGCTTCTGACACACAGAGCCGGAAAACTGATCACATGAGCAGTCAGTCAGAGAAGGAGCTCCAAATACCTGGAAGAGAAGATCAGGGAAAGATATTCAAGATGGAGGAAACTAAGATTAAAAAACAGAGCTTCCTAACAGCAGAGGTAACAGACCAATGTTTAATGCAAAAATGGCAAGAAATGCTTTTATCAGCCTCTCAAATATAGAGATTTGCTTATATTTTCTCTGTTTTATATCAAATTAAAGTGAATATCCGTGGGTTTAGACTGACACACGAGACATTTAAAGACATCCCCTTTGATTTTGAGAACCTATGATGGATATCTTTGACTATTTTCTGACATGTTATAGACCAGACAATCGATTAAGCTACCACACCCTTTAGTGAGCTGTACAGTTCAAATGAATTGACCCTGAGTGTGATCTGGTGTTGTGACATCCCTAATAAAGGGGTTAACTTCCAGAGAAGATGCTCACGAGACCACAAAGAAAGTGTTAAAGTAATTTGGACGGATAAATGTGGAAGCCAATTAAAAAAAAATGCAGATTGAGGAAGAGTTTGTGTTAAAGAACAAGAGCGTTTTGTTTGAGAGGCGGAGTAAACACACGAGGACATACGGTGTTAGAACAACAGAGAGAGTTTGGCGCGTCCTGCAGACTCTGCAGACAGATGGTGGATCTGACGGAGATTACACCAGGCTGGTGCTTTGGGCTTTTTGTTTCGGCTCCGTGTGTTTTTAATTGTGCATTTGAAACACATTACACTCTGCTGTGTTCCTGCTTCCTCTGGCATGTATCTCATCGTACATCCTCAACATATTTCCTCCTATTTCAAGGGTTTAAACTTTAGGAAATACAGTTTGTGCACACATGCATCAGACTGTCAGTGTTCACAACTAATGTCTGGTTTAATGTGGATATAAAGCAGACATTTTGAAGTGATAATGTTACAATACACAAACACTCTCACACACACACACACACACACACACACACACACACACACACACACACACACACACACACACACACACACACACACACACACACACACACACACACACACACACACACACATTCAACATTTTATATATACACAATGAAATCTCAATTCATACACATACACACCCAAACTCGATGACACATACACACACCGTCCATGGATACAAACACACACACACAGACAGACAGACAGACAGACAGACAGACAGACAGACAGACAGACACACACACACACACACACACACACACACACACACACACACATACAACACCTCTAATCAATAATAAAAACAGCTGGTTGTTGCTAACGCTGTGTAACGCAGGCTTCTTTTAAATCCCAGTTAAAAATGACAGATTTCACACATGTCGAATTGTTGGAAGCATTTGGGTTAAAGCAAACCGCAACTCAAATACCTGCCACAGGCCTAGCTTTTATTAGACATTTAAGAGCGGTACAGCTTGCATCTTATTGGCTGTTGGTTACTTAGCTCACTTTATGCGCTACAAACCCATTTTTTTGGGGGGGGGGGGGGTGTGCAGGTGTAAGTGTGACAGAGTAATCCGTGCAACAGAGTAATCCGTGCAACAAGAAGAAGCCGGCGGCGTTTAGTCTGCTGTGTTATTGTGTTGCTCTGTTGGAGGAGCCTGTGACCTCAGATGTTCATTGATATATCTGTAGCTATGTTCAAATGACATGAAAAGCCTGCTTATTGTGGGTTCCCTCTCCTGTAGTGTGTTGTAGGTTTTAGTGCGTGTACAAATACACAAGCTAAATTCCTTTAAATTAAGTGTAAAACTACTTTATAATAATAACCGTGATTCTGTCTTCCTCTCTGCAGATCCTAGTGAGAGCGCGGCCCTGCGTGGATGAGTTGCGAGGGTGTGTGTGTGTGTGTGTGAGTGTGTGTAAGTGAGCGTCAGCGCTCCCACATGGCCTCCATGCAAGACGGGCTGAACTTCACGGCTCCTCCCTACGGCAAAGTGCTGCTGCTGGGCGCCATCGCTGCTGCCTCCGCCTTCGTGGTCACCATCCTCATCGTGGTGCTGTGTGTGGGCTGCCAGCGGTGAGACACACACACACACACACACACACACACACACACACACACACACACACACACACACACACACACACACACACACACACACACACACACAGACAGACAGACAGACAGACAGACAGACAGACAGACAGACAGACAGACAGACAGACAGACAGACAGACAGACAGACAGACAGACAGACAGACAGACAGACAGACAGACAGACACACACACACACACACATTCAACATTTTATATATACACAATTAAATATCAATGAGCGAAAAAATTCTAACGCACTGCGGCACATAATTCAAGATAAAGATACCCTTATTACTTATCGTAGCTGCACATACAATATAGCCTATTAAAGCTGAGGCTCCACTGATTATTTAGGTATAGTATCATCACTGAGCGATCCGAACTTGCGACAGGGGAAGCAAACACAGACATCACAACACGTACCTTTACGGAGCTTTTACGGCAGATCGTCTCACCATAGCTGTCAATTAGGTCAAAAGATGTGTTCAATGGCATTAAAACGAAAAAAAAATGTCTACAACTGTTGATCCATAGGTTGATAATGTACCTGTGCCTTTGAAGAAATTATTTATAATCCATAATTCCATTTTTTATGTAAAAATCGGAGCGGAAAAGTTAGCTGCTAATGGTAGCCACCAATGGTATGCAGCTTCCGGTTTTGGTAACGCGTCACTCTCACTCCTTATTTGTTAACGTTTTGGTGTGTATATAACTTTCCCTCGATTCCATTGGCTCTAGCGGTTATAAAGAGATTTCATTCATCAAAATCGAGCAAGGGGGGGCCAGAGATAGGTCAAATCCACCCAAATGACCCCAGAAGTGGGTTTTTTGCTAAATCTCTCTAAAAAGGTAAAATGTCACTTGTTTTGCATCAATCTTGATACAGGGTACTTATTATATGTTGTACTTTGGATTCCTAAAGCTTTTAGTCTACTAACCCATCATCCAAGGGTAGTTTTCACTATAAGTAAAAAAGAACTTTTGGACAGACACTATAATTTACAGTTTTTTACTATGTAAAATCTGAAATGTCTTTAAAATAAAAAACATCTATATCGATTCTGACTTTTCTACATCCAACTCACAGGTTTATCATTACTTTGAGAATAAAGATTATTAATTTAACCCTTTTAGAAGGGAAGATATGGTCATTTGTTCTGGGAATGGCATTTTCGAGCCTGAGACCTGAAAAACAGGCTCAGGGCTTAACAGGTTAAATAAAAAGGTCAAGTGACAAAACTAACATTGAACCTTAAAATAAAGTGCAGTAGAAGTTTAAAGAAGCTTAAACTGGAAAAACAAGAACCTCACTAGGACTTGAATATACTCTTGAGTAAGTATCCCATCACTGTCACGCACAGATGCAAATGTCTCTGTAATGTGCACAGTCATAAGACATGACTCAGACACACATGGACAGTGACTCAAACTCTGCACGCACACACACACACACACACACACACACACACACACACACACACACACACACACACACACACACACACACACACACACACACACACACACACACACACACACACACACACACACACACACACTGTTCTAAGTGTCTGCTTGTGTGTTTTCAGGAAGGGAAAAACGCACAATGTTCCCGGCGAGGGTGGAAAACACCGTCTCATGGACATGGTAGGTATCTTCACCAAATCATTCAGAGGACTACTCTTCATCCCAAATACTGTTTAACTGGCCCCCTGTGTGTGTGTGTGTGTGTGTGTGTGTGTGTGTGTGTGTGTGTGTGTGTGTGTGTGTGTGTGTGTGTGTGTGTGTGTGTGTGTGTGTGTCAGGGTATTCTCCGACAGTCCAAGCTGCGCTCCATCAGTAAATCAGACGCTGAGATGAACAAGATGAACTGCAATGGCAAAAGTGAGTCCATCCATCTCAAGCTAACGCTGACTTGTGGAAACCCTGTATCTCCTTAATGAAATTACACAGTGTGTGTGTGTGTGTGTGTGTGTGTGTGTGTGTGTGTGTGTGTTTCAGCGGCATGACGAAGCACTTTTGGCTTCATTGAAGGTGCAGTCAGCGATTCTAATGCAATGCATTTTCTGTTTAATTGAGTAAATGTCTCCTCACAAAGCAAAGAGCACAGAGTCAGATAATTGAGAATAGATACACTATTTAAATTATATTTCATCACTTCATTAAAGTACTTTTAATTCTATTTAAAATCATTAAAGTCACAAACAGTGGAGATACAAGGTTTTTATCAGAGTCAATCCATGGAAATGGCAAAAATGGAAATTGTAGCATGTTCTGATTTAATGTAAATGTCCTTAATCATTTTATATTTCATATTAAATATATGTTTCTTTTAATGTTTTGATATTATATGGTGTTTTCTTATAACTTAATTTGTATTCCCTATTTGTATTGGCATTGTTTATATACTGTATGTGCTCTCAATTTGCTTATTATAATTATAATGCTATATTTTTTTAATGTCATAAATGGGTTTCTGAATTGTATTTGTTTTTCAAAAATTATGATTTATTATTATTAATATTTATATATATTTATTTCTTGGGATTATTTTTTCTAATATTATTTATTATTATTTTAATGCCAAGCTGGGGTCCGCAAAAACAACATTACAAACATCGAATAATGCAAAAAAACATTTAGTTTGCGTCGTCTCACCGCACATTTTCCTCCGTATCTGATCCGGCCCTAAATTCATGCAAAACCCAAACTGCATTTGACCCTAAAACAGAACTCGCCTCACATTCCCTCCTCACCCCTTTCCTCTGGACTCTGTGTTTGTGAACATTCATCTTTCTCTCTTTGAGAGACGAGCAGGGAGCCACGTTCCTGTGCTTGTGGCTGAGTGACAGCAGAAACATATGTCCTGCTTCAGATCCATGCCGAAGTCGATTTGGAAGCGTTTTCCTCAAAGCTCAACGTCAGCTCTGTCTCTGTCAACGGGAGATTTATTCATGTTCACTACTGTGTGTCCAGTACAGAGGAGGACATGTGTGTGAGTTTGGTTTTATGGTGCCTTTCAGAGGCTCCTAAAAAGAGAAAGGTCCCCAGTGTTGCCAGATGTACAATAATGATCATATTTATCCAATAATGTTACACTCTGTAGGATCAATATTACCCGGAGATAATTCTATAGCTTCAGTTTGAGTCAGAAAATAAGCAAATAATCACAGCATACCTTTAAAGATTTCCCAATCTTCAATGCAATTTCAAGAAGTAAAAAACTAACGTTAGGCTATAAAGGAACTACAGTATGGACTTCACGTCACCACCGCTAAGCTAAAGGTGGCTAATGTTGGGCTATAAAGGAACTACAGCATGGTCACATGACTTCACGTCACCACCGCTAAGCTAAAGGTGGCTAATGTTGGGTTATTAAGGAACTACAGCACGGTCACATGACTTCACGTCACCACCGCTAAGCTAAAGGTGGCTAATGTTGAGCTATAAAGGAACTACAGCACGGTCACATGACTTCACGTCACCACCGCTAAGCTAAAGGTGGCTAATGTTGGGCTATAAAGGAACTACAGCATGGTCACATGACTTCACCTCACCACCGCTAAGCTAAAGGTGGCTAATGTTGGGTTATTAAGGAACTACAGCACGGTCACATGACTTCACGTCACCACCGCTAAGCTAAAGGTGGCTAATGTTGAGCTATAAAGGAACTACAGCACGGTCACATGACTTCACGTCACCACCGCTAAGCTAAAGGTGGCTAACGTTGGGCTATAAAGGAACTACAGCACGGTCACATGACTTCACGTCACCACCGCTAAGCTAAAGGAGGCTAATGTTGGGCTATAAAGGAACTACAGCACGGTCACATGACTTCACCTCACCACCGCTAAGCTAAAGGTGGCTAATGTTGGGCGTGATGACTTTTGGTCGTCTCATTAAGACACTTGTTAGCGACCGCCATTAATAAGACACGTACAAATTCCCAGTAGGAAAATTACTAACGTATCTTATCGTAGTACAAACGTTAAAATCTTCCAGCTTTTGTTAATCATAGACCTTGTTTAGGGAATATAATTCCAAAAACCATTGACTTTAAGAAACAGAACAGGAAGTGCTGAAATGTCTCTTCTAGGTTTAAGGATTAATTCCTGCAGCTCTCTTTAGTGGAGTATTACAAATATTGTCTAACAGATGGACTTATGGACCTTTTTTCACAGAATACTACTAAAAAAACATATGTTGGTATAGTTCTAGGCTTGTCAAATAGTTGTTCTGTAAAATGACATATTGACGCCTACTGGTTCTAGAGGTGGTTATGATCCACATAAATAACTTAAGTCAATATCCATCCATCAAACATTTGGAAGAAATGCTCACGGAGGTAGCAGTTTTAAGTCTAAATCTGATCAAGTTAAACCTCTGTGAGGATAGTTTAAAGTCCCGTATCTGGCAACGCTGGGTCCTCAGTCTGGACCTTCTGCTGCTGCCCGGCAGGTCTAACTCTGGTTCGTTCTCAAGGCAGGCAGCTCCCCCAGATCCCCCCCGGGGCTGAGGACGGGGAGCACACTTACTCAGAGGTCGCTGCTCGTACTGACGATGCCCTGTACGCCATGGTAGGCAGGGCCGGGCAGACGGACACCCCGGCCCCCCCCGCTGTGCCCGCCAACACCCCGGCGCCTCCGGACCCCGACGGAGACGCTGAGGGAGGGATGCCCGACTCTGAGGTCATGCAGCCCGCTCCTCCTCCTCCTGAGGCGGCTGAGTACGCCTGCGTCCGGAAGCTGAGGAAGGCGGACAAGGTGCCGCAGAAGAGAGACAGCGGGACGGACATGGCGGAGGCGCCGGTGCCTCAGCAGAGACACCCACCCCCGTCTCACCCTGCTCCCCCCCCTCCTCACCCCACTCACCCCCACAGCACCAAGCTGCCCCGCAGGAACCAGGACGCCTTCAACGTGCCCGCGTTCCCAAAGGTTGGTACACACACATAGTCCAATGTCAAAGTCAACTTCATTGTCAATCTTTCAGTTTGTGTGTACAGACACAGAGAGATCTGAAGATGTAGCAGCAGCTTGATCTTCAATCTCAGGATCCATGTGTTTGTGATCCTCTCCAGAATGGAAGTAGTCATCACATACAGAGCATCAACTAGTTCCTGAACAGTGTCCTTCACATGCTGATATCCAAGAGAGGGAGTTACACAGTCACAAGATGGAGGAATAGAAAGCAGTATTCAATGTTTACTTCAGATTAGCTCCACGTCAGAAATGATCATGCTTGTCATATGGCTATCTCCATAGAATCATCATGTTAATCACATAGCAAAATTCGGACTTTTTCACAAAATTCGGACTTTTTCTCAAAATTCGGACTTTTTCTCAAAATTCGGACTTTTTCTCAAAATTCGGACTTTTTCTCAAAATTCGGACTTTTTCTCAAAATGTTTTTTTTCTCATGAAAATCACAAAATTCTGACTGTTTCACAAAATTGTGACTTTTTCAAAACATTCTGACTTTTTCTCATAATGTTGGTGTCTTTCAAAAAATCTAAAAATTCGGACTTTCTCTCAAAATCTCAAAATTCGGACTTTTCCGAATACTTCAAAATGTTAATAATCCCTAGTCCCCGACTTGAGCTTCAATCTCAGGATCCATGTATTTGTGATCCTCTCCAGAATGGAAGTAGTCATCACATACAGAGCATCAACTAGTTCCTGAACAGTGTCCTTCACATGCTGATATCCAAGAGAGGGAGTTACACAGTCACAAGATGGAGGAATAGAAAGCAGTATTCAATGTTTACTTCAGATTAGCTCCACGTCAGAAATGATCATGCTTGTCATATGTCTATCTCCATAGAGGCTGAATCATCATGTTAATCACATAGCTATCATATGCCTCAAACAGTCCTGATGCTCTTCTAGGTAATCACACATCCTGTCATGTTCACAGCTACAGTTGGGATACCTTTGTTATCATGTGTACTCTCATATTGGAAGAGGACATTCACTATTTTCCAAAACATTGTACAGTGTTTAAATTCAATAAAGTGCAGTACTATAAAAATGAAGGACAAGGTGCACTTACTAAAAACTTTTCTTTAGCGCTTTCAGCTGCATCTCATCTCCATGACAAGTGGGCAAACTCCATACACCGATGAAGACCATGAGATGCAGTTGAAAGTGGAGAAGCTAGTAAGTGGACCTTATGTTAAGATTGTTTAAGTAAAATAAATTGTCTCTGAGCTAAACTTGGTTCTAACATTTGGCTATTTGTGTTAAAGTAACATTTAACCTCCTTATTATTGAAGGGGTCAGGATTGATGGTTTAAATGTTCTCTCAAAGTTGATCTTGTCCGACAACACGGTCATGATGTGGTCGGCTAGTCTCTTAAACAAATGCACATTAATTTGATTGTTGAAAATACAAAACCAACCTAGAGAAACAATAAGACGCGTAGCTCAAAACGTGATAGCATGAAGCCAAATGAATAGAGCCAGTCTGGTTGCAGAGACAACTACTTGATGTGTTTTGTTTCTGTCACTGATTTCATTTACACGTATGTTATTATTTACTTCACAACACTGTGTATATGTAACCTGAATGGCACCAGATTCTCACACAACCTGGTCCGTAATGGAAAGAGGGAACGTTGCCACATGCTGTTGCAACACATCTTGTTTGTGATCGGCCGGGCCAGATGTCGTAATGTTGAGGTGTTTCAGTTTAACGGGATGAAGGAGGTGAAGGAGTGTTTGCTGGAGGGGGAGATGAAAAGTTAACGGCTGATTTGGGTTTCTCGTGGTTCTCCAGAGGTCTGACAGGATCACACAAAGCAGATTTAAGACTTGAGCTGATGCCTTGTGACTCAATGGAAGAATTACTGGCTGTGTTGCTTTAGGTACAAGTGAGATATGAACACAACGGACTTAGAAAGCAATCCATTTGTTTGAAGGCGAAAGTTAGTTCTTTAAAACTGCACACAAATCAGTCCATTCATGTTTTTGGAATCTGATCTTTGACATTCTTGGACCACTTTCTTGTTTGGTCCTCAATCAGATGCAGGTTTGCGATGCACCACCAGTCTGATCCGTCATATCGGATTGCATGAGTAGCAGTGACTTCAGTTCGAGCTACACTTGAGGAGTTGCATCGTTACTGGTCTGTGTTTCAAAGCATATCGAAATAAATCTTTGCCACAGAAGAACAAGGCTAGGTCCAGGAAATAAGTGATCATCCAACCTCTCCTGGCTACGATTACACACACACACACACCTCCATATCAAAGCAGGTTGTAACAGTCATAGCTCCACAAAAAGCTGAAACAAGTCTCTTAATCTCAACGTGCACATTATCATCTGCTCTCTACTGCAGATCAAGTAGCAAATGAAACGGTAAAAGCAGAGTTTGGTGCCCTCCATGTTTACGGTTTGTACGACAGAGTGCCGCGTTTGCCGTGTTTGTTGCTGTTCTTTGGTTCAGGACAGTGACCGGTTCAGACTGGAATCTTATATTGGCCACGTATACAAAATTATGAGCCAAATATCTAATCTGATCGTTCCAAAATCTGCATTGAGTTTTATAGCGTGGAGATAACCAGTGTCTGAGTTCTCGGTCAAACCTTCGTCCCAGGGTTAGATTCATGTTTCCGGCTGCATTGACATGTCATGATTGATTCTTCTGTCGTTCTTTGTCAGCATCGTGTGTACCACATTAATATGTTGTCCAGGTGCAGTGGAGAGCGTCAGATTCCCTGTTGAAGCTGCAGGTGATCTTCACGGTTGTAATTGTGCCAACGCTGCCGTTTTCTCTGCATTTATCTCCACTGTGCGAGTGATTTGTTAGCATCTACTTAGCAGTCTGGGCAGGGAGACGTGATCACGTGTCCGATAGTTATATATGTTGTCCTGCTCTCAGCGGTGTGTCCCGTCCTCCATATGTTCAAAGTCTGTCCTGTTTTTGTAGTGGATGAACAGGCTATGTGTGAGACCAGCAGGTTACACTTTGTTCTGTGACCCGGGTTCAGTAACACGCACAGAGTTCACAGACTAACACGTGTTGGCTGTCTGCTCTGTGGATGATGCAACATGTTGAAACTGAGCACATGCTTCCTCACAGCCTCACCTTCCAGGGAAAACCTCCTGCATGGAAATCTACTGTAACACGAGTGTAATGCTCAGTCTGCATGTTTATTGATAACATTATTATCATTAATAATGTTCTATAATAACGTGCAATTACGTATCTACCACTAACGTGTTTTTGCACTACTAAATACTGTTAATATTTACATTAATTATGTGATACGTCGATGTTTCCTGTAGATATTTAATGCTCTTTTTACTGCACTGTTAGTGTCCAGTTTTATTATTTTGTTGCTGTGTTTATTGTAGTTGTGTAACCCAATTTCCTTCGGGATAAATAAAGTCAATTTTGTTTATTCGCATTTTAAGAAATTATTCACAAAGCATACATAATCAAATAAACACATCTAAGTACAAGATGAACTACATAACAGATGACAAATCAGAAAAGACATAATAAAATAATAGTATTAATAATATTACAAATGAAAGAATGGATACATTATGAATACATTATGAATACATTATGAATACTCAGGTACACATTAATTATATTCACTGTATTGTTCTACACTGACCCATTCCTCCCACCTTTCCTCAAAGATATGCATTTGGTTTCTAATCTAGTTGTTTTCTCAGTTACATAGATTTCATTTACTAAGTTATTCCATTGTGAGTTTACTAAGTTATTATCTTTTAGACAATTCCTTGTCATTAGTTTGATGATGGCTTTTCTAATGACCAGAAATAGATAGGAATCTTTCTGTATCTCCTCTGGTGTTTCCCCAGTGATAGGGACAATGGGTTTTTGTTGAGAGAAATGCCAAAAGATATTGGAAATGTCTCTGCATGTTTAAAGAGGCTCATTTGTCTGTTATGAATCCCATCGGGTCTGTTCTTTAAAATGCACGTTGTATATTCCCAAGTCCTGGTGACCGTGTGACCGTGTGACGAGCTGTGCCCTGATTCTGTTGACAGGAGGTGATGTTTATGGGCAACGGAGAGCAGTACATCTGGAAGCCTCCGGAGGAAGAGGAGATGCTCATGCACCAAAACAAGTCCCTGGGACCGCTGGGTGCTCACACGGTGGAGAACATCCAGCCGTCTGCTGCTGTGGTGAGCATCAACACGCTTCATCTGTTAAAGGGACAGTACACCTCAAAATCACACATTGCATTTATTACCGTGTTTAAGCTACGTGTTATTATTATTATTATTATGCGTCACTTTCCCCCTTCTTCTCCAGTAGGACTCAGATGCTGCACTTTTCCTTGTTCATGTGATGTTTTGGTGTTATTGTTGTTGTTGTTGTTTTGTTTCTTTCCGTTAACTGTCAAGTGGGAACTAAGTATTTTCTTTTGTACGTTTTTGTGTTTCTCTTATTTTCCTACGATACTGTTATGTGTGACTGATTTGTTCATGTCTCTTCTTCATCAACATGTGTCCCCTCTTCTTCATGTCTCTTCTACATCAACATGTGTCCCCTCTTCTTCATGTCTCTTCTTCATCAACATGTGTCCCCTCTTCTTCATGTCTCTTCTACATCAACATGTGTCCCCTCTTCTTCATGTCTCTTCTACATCAACATGTATCCCCTCTTCTTCATGTCTCTTCTACATCAACATGTGTCCCCTCTTCTTCATGTCTCTTCTACATCAACATGTGTCCCCTCTTCTTCATGTCTCTTCTACATCAACATGTGTCCCCTCTTCTTCATGTCTCTTCTTCATCAACATGTGTCCCCTCTTCTTCATGTCTCTTCTACATCAACATGTGTCCCCTCTTCTTCATGTCTCTTCTACATCAACATGTGTCCCCTCTTCTTCATGTCTTTTCTACATCAACATGTGTCCCCTCTTCTTCATGTCTCTTCTTCATCAACATGTGTCCCCTCTTCTTCATGTCTCTTCTTCATCAACATGTGTCCCCTCTTCTTCATGTCTCTTCTTCATCAACATGTGTCCCCTCATCTTCATGTCTCTTCTACATCAACATGTGTCCCCTCTTCTTCATGTCTCTTCTACATCAACATGTGTCCCCTCTTCTTCATGTCTCTTCTTCATCAACATGTGTCCCTCTTCCTTCATGTCTCGTCTACATCAACATGTGGTTCCCCTCTTCTTCATGTCTCTTCTTCATCAACATGTGTCCCCTCTTCTCCATGTCTCTTCTTCATCAACATGTGTCCCCCCTCTTCTTCATGTCTCTTCTCGACATCAACATGTGTGCCCCTCTTCTTCATGTCTCTTCTACATCAACATGTCCCCTCTTCTTCATGTCCTCTTCTTCATCAACATGTGTCCCCTCTTCTTCATGTCTCTTCTACATCAACATGTGTCCCCTCTTCTTCATGTCTCTTCTCATCAACATGTGTCCCTCCTCTTCTCCATGTCTCTTCTTCATCAACATGTGTCCCCTCTTCTTCATGTCTCTTCTCATCAACATGTGTCCCTCTAGTCTATCATTTCCTCTTCTTCTCAAATCAACATGTGTCACCCTCTTCTCCATGTCTCTTCTTCATCAACATGTGTCCCCTCTTCTTCATGTCTCTTCTACATCAACATGTGTCCCCTCTTCTCCATGTCTCTTCTTCATCACCATGTGTCCCCTCTTCTTCATGTCTCTTCTACATCAACATGTGTCCCCTCTTCTCCATGTCTCTTCTACATCAACATGTGTCCCCTCTTCTTCATGTCTCTCTACATCAACATGTGTCCCCTCTTCTTCATGTCTCTTCTACATCAACATGTGTCCCCTCTTCTTCATGTCTCTTCCACATCAACATGTGTCCCCTCTTCTTCATGTCTCTTCTACATCAACATGTGTCCCCTCTTCTTCATGTCTCTTCTACATCAACATGTATCCCCTCTTCTTCATGTCTCTTCTACATCAACATGTGTCCCCTCTTCTTCATGTCTCTTCTACATCAACATGTGTCCCCTCTTCTTCATGTCTCTTCTACATCAACATGTGTCCCCTCTTCTTCATGTCTCTTCTACATCAACATGTGTCCCCTCTTCTTCATGTCTCTTCTACATCAACATGTGTCCCCTCTTCTTCATGTCTCTTCTACATCAACATGTGTCCCCTCTTCTTCATGTCTTTTCTACATCAACATGTGTCCCCTCTTCTTCATGTCTCTTCTTCATCAACATGTGTCCCCTCTTCTTCATGTCTCTTCTTCATCAACATGTGTCCCCATCTTCTTCATGTCTCTTCTACATCAACATGTGTCCCCCTCATCTTCATGTCTCTTCTACATCAACATGTGTCCCCTCTTCTTCATGTCTCTTCTACATCAACATGTGTCCCCTCTTCTTCATGTCTCTTCTACATCAACATGTGTCCCCTCTTCTTCATGTCTCTTCTTCATCAACATGTGTCCCCTCTTCTTCATGTCTCTTCTACATCAACATGTGTCCCCTCTTCTTCATGTCTCTTCTTCATCAACATGTGTCCCCTCTTCTCCATGTCTCTTCTTCATCAACATGTGTCCCCTCTTCTTCATGTCTCTTCTACATCAACATGTGTCCCCTCTTCTTCATGTCTCTTCTACATCAACATGTGTCCCCTCTTCTCCATGTCTCTTCTTCATCACCATGTGTCCCCTCTGTGTAAAGAGACTCTGAAAGTTTCAGGAACAAAGATTCTCTCTCTTTTTCTCCTGATCCATTTCTATAAAAACCTGTCTGAAAATGAGCTGATCAGATTTTGGCCACTTTGTGATGTCATAACGATGTTTTGTCTTGTGTAACCATTAGCCAATCAGCAGCCAAGGTAACCCCCCCCCCCCCCCCCCCCCACCTTATCACGGTTCTATGCATCCTGGATGACCGCCAGAGCTCTTAGTCACTCGGAATCTCGTGTTCCCGCGAGAATATTCCATAGGACTGAACTCATTGACAACACCGGAATTTATGCGAGGTCACACGTGACTTGTTGACATAAATACTCGTCCTGCGCATGCGCGAGACAGAAGATATCCAGTGCTAAGCACTGCCTCTGGCGGTCATCCAGGATTCATAGAACCGTAGTTTCATACGTAACTTTCATTTTGTTCTCAGGTGGCGGAGATGTACTCGAAGGTGTGTAAACCTGGGAAGAAGAAGCGAGCGGTGCCGGGGTCTCCTCCAGGAAACCCTGGCTTCCGGACCCTGGGTCGGGGGGACCGGGACCGGGATCGGGACGGCGGGTTCAGTGTTGTTGTGAAGCCGCAGACGTGGGCCCTGCCGGAGGGGAGGGCCGGGGCGCTGGACGACCACTGCTACGAGTCCATCGGCACGGAGGAGTGCGACCTGGCCTACGAGAACCTGGACGCGGCCTGGAAGAGAGAGAGGCCGCCCAACACCTGCGCCACCTTGAGACCACGGAGGAAGAAGTCCCAGCAGCCTTTGCAGCAGCAGCAGCCGCCACCGCCGCCGCCCACGCAGCAGCAGCCCCCCCCCCACCTGCAGCAAGCCAAATCCCTGCTGCTGCCGGGGGAGAACCTGTACGAGAGCATCGGGGACCTGAAGCAGGGCTCGAACACCTCCAGCACCACCACCATCTTCACCTTCAACGACGGCATGGAGATGTACGTGACGGGGCTGTGAGACCCTCATCAGGCTCTAAAGACCCTCCATCAGGATCTGAGACCCTCCATCAGAACCTGAGACCCTCCATCAGGCTCTGAGACCCTCCATCAGGCTCTGAGACCCTCCATCAGAACCTGAGACCCTCCATCAGAACCTGAGACCCTCCATCAGGATCTGAGACCCTTCATCAGGCTCTTAAGACACTCCATCAAGACCTGAGACCCTCCATCAGGATCTGAGACCCTCCATCAGGCTCTGAGACCCTCCATGCCCCCCAACACATACTGTTTACATTCAGTCATAACGTCGTCGTCCTCACAAACATGTGGATCTGTTATGACCCGGGCTCCCCTCTATAAACCTTACAACGAATCCAAAGGTAGTGAACACTAAATGAGCACAAGACCCCGCAGAGCGATCTGTGGGGAACAGTAGCACTTCTATTTTACTGAGACATATGTGCTAAGCACAATTAAGTAAAAAGCCTAAATTCTTCCTCAATTATAGCGGGTAAAAAGGTCCGAGCAGGACTGGTATTGCGGGAAAAGGCACAGCATTGTGGGAGATCTTTTGGTAGCACTTATCATGAGCAGGCCTTCCCTGTAGAGTCAAGATGTGAATTTAAATGATATATAAGGAATGAATTACTAATCAAAAATACTTGAAAGCTCAGGGACCAAGAGAAACAATTATGAGAGTATTATAAGTAAATAAATTGCACACATTTTGCATTCCTCCTAAAAAGCTTCAACTCATTTAAGACCATCATCATGTTTAGAAAAGCGACCGGATACTTCCCTCCGTCATGTGGGGCTGGGCGATGTCGGGAAATCTGATACCGTGATATGTTTGACCAAATACCGATAATGTGACGATATCGTACTGTTGACCTTTGGTGGGTTCACTAAATATTTACTCAATGAGATTTTCTCAACAGATAATTAGCATAATTCAAAATAATGGAAGAGCGGTCTGGTGATTCGAATAACTCCAAATATTGAATGTGAAAAGATGTTTGGCACTCATGTCCTTCATACGGCTTAATACCAACGTTTATAGATTGTCTAATTAATGTTAAAACCTATTTACAAAAATTACAAATCGACACTTTTGGCTTTTAAACGTAATACTCGCTCAACGCTGCTTTATGGATCACGCAAATCCACTTTCAGGTTAGGGCAAGTATTTGTAATCATTGCGCTCACATGCCGTTTAACACCCACGATAATGGCTCATCTTGAAAGCTTAGAAAAAGCCTTAAAACTAGGAAAAGACAGCTTGTACAATATCTCAAATCTCAGACGATATCTCGCCTCATATCACGATAATGGTATATTATGGGATGTATTGCCCGGCCCTACTTCACGTTAAGTTTGACCGGACATGGACTGAACACTGTCTCCACTGCCGTCTGTAAATTAAGTGTTTTACTTTGTTGATCCTGTTTCTGCACTTTGCCTGCTACAAGTTGCATGCTAGAAGAAAAAAGAAATCACAAAAAAAATCAAGCACTGTCATGTGGTTCCTCTATATGGATGTTTTTCATTTTAAATTGTCGTTGGTTGTTTTTTTGAGTTTTATTTTTAAAAGTGTGTTGCTTTATTTCTCTGTAGAGCACAAAGTTAGATTTAAGACGTCCGGGACTCTGAGGGGAGAGTTGACTTTCTCTCGTCTCACACACCGAGAGGAAACTCAAGAGAACTGCAAGGTGGAGACAGACACACACACACACACACACAACACACACCACACACACACACACACACACACACACACACACACACACACGGACACACACACACACACGCACACACACACACCACACACACACACACACACACACACACACACACACACGCACACACACACACACACACACACACACACACACACACACACACACACACAGACAGACAGACAGACAGACAGACAGACAGACAGACAGACACACACACACAACATTGATGGACACACACACTACCTTTATTCATATATACTCAACATAGATGGATACACACACACACGCACACGCACACACACACACACACACACACACACACACACACACACACACACACACACACACACACACACACACACACAACACACACACACACACACGTACCTCCCTCTCCGCTCAGTCCTCACGTCTGTGGAGCGTTCATCTCCATTTGCCTCGTGGTCACATGGATCTGCCGTCACCCCTCCATCGATGGACTCTCTCCTCTCTGTTATCAGTGTTCAAATATTGCAGAAATTACTAAAAAAAAAAGAAAAGAAAAGTGAAGCAAAAGGTTTCGCGGAGCATCATCCTCCTAAAGATCACACATTTACAAATCCTGGACGATTATATATATAAATATATATATATATATCATTCGACCAAATCTCCCCAGCCAACAATGTGATTATACTGTATGTTGATGCAACGTGTATGTACATTACAAAAGAGAAAGAATAATAAATATATCATCAGTGTCAAGAAATCTATCTTTTTCTATGATGTTTAATTGTGTTTTGGAATGACTTTATCTTGTCGGAAAAAAAACAGCTGCAATGTGAATCAGTGTTTTCTGTTTGTTGTTTTCTGAAGCCATGAAGCTCCGGTGTGTTCTTGGAAAGCCCGCTGAGTTAAATGTGGCAGCTAATGTTGTGTGTTTGCTATTCAGACTACAGGGTCTTGTACTCGACAAAGCGTGTCATTTTAAGTGCTAAAGTGCAAAAGATTGTAATGTTTTATATCAAGATTACTATTCATGAAATGTCAGTCAAGTTTATACTTTTGTAATAAAGTGGCACTTTAAAAAAACAAAGATGTCTTATCTCATAGTTTCAGTTATTAAAATTATAAAAGAACAGCAGATTGAAGACGGTCTTTTTTATAAAATATCACTAAGAGTTGACCTTTTTATTTATTTAAACCTTTTCTTCGGATCTAAAAAGCGGCCGGACAAACGAAAAATGGGAACGAACCTAAACTCTCATGATATCTGAATCATATTGTGTGAAATATGATTCAGATATGACTTAAATCCGAGGCTGCTTGGTTCCTTTGTGTACAGCCTTGATGAACATGAGCACGTGTGCTTAGAGGAATAACTGAACAGGTCATTCGCCTTCACCTAAAACATTCACTTAAAGAGAGACTTAAAGGTGGGGTAGGTCATTTTGGAGAAACCAGCTCGAGTGCGTAGAATTTGAAAATACACAACCGGAGAAAATCTGCCACTTCCTGACAGAGCCCCTCCTCCAACACACACGAACGCGCACATGACCAATGAGGGCACGAGATAAGTTTGTGCACAGATGGAAGGCTGACAGGCAGGTAGGCCATCCAATCATTTTAGCCGGGCCGGCTCAGATGATTGGTCGTGCTTTTTACAGTACTACTGCTTCCACAGATGAAATGTTTTTATGGATTTTTTGTCAAAGCACTTCAGATATTCATTGCTATCTGGATGTTAAGAGCATTCCATGGAATATAACAACAAGTGTATCTCGAGCCGGTTTCTCAAACTTACCTACCCCACCTTTAAGTAGGAGGAGACGCAAAATGACCAAAATAAAACAAAAACTGACAACAAAGAGACATACTAATACTACAAAACGTCCATAAACAGACACATCGCCGATGAAGACGCACAACATGACCGCAAAATGACAATAAAGAGACGTAAAAAATACAAAATAGCATGAAAACGACTTCAAAGAGACTTAAGTGACACAAGTGACCACAATGATGGAGCTATTGTTACAAAGAGAGGCTACACACACACTGAAAACAACTATAGAGACACACAATTACTACAAAAAGACACAAAACGTCCACTAAATGCCACAAAACAACTACAAAGAGAGACAACATGACCCCAGGGACACAACATGACTACAAAGACAAAGAAAATGACACAAACGAACAACAAAGAGACACAAAACCTCCACTAAATGCCATGAGACAGCTACAAAGAGACTACAAATAGACCACAAAGAGACACAAAATGACCACAACGACAGATGTTCCTTCAAAGAAAGACTCAAATTAACTACAAAGACACTGAAAATAACTATAGAGACACACAAGTACTATAAAAAGACCAAAAACAAACACTAAGACAAAACGTCCTCAGAATGACACAAAACAATTACAAACCCTAAAATAAGACTATCCACTACAAACAGACTCAACATGACACAAAACGACCACAAAGAGGTTAAACATTTACTGTGTGTGTG